TTCCAACTTCCAAGCAGTTAACAAGTAGTGAAAGAACACCCCTACTTCCAAGCAGTTAAACCAGTAGTGAAAGGAGAAAAGAAGGGTATGTTGTGTGGAAGTATAGTGGGAGTAAAGAAGGGCGGGTTGTGTAGAAGTATGGTGGGGTTCTTCAAATATTTTTCCTCATTTATATATGTAGAATTCGCAAAAACCTCAAGACAACAGAGGAAGAAAGGTTGATCTTCCTAAGTCATAGAATTATAATAAATTCATTCATTAGTACCAAAAAAACTAGAATTATAATAAATCCTTTCATATCCCTTACCAATGCCATAATGAATTAAAAATAAATTGAAAATTTATATTAATATTTACTTCAAACACGTGAAAAAAAAAATATATATATTTTCAATTTGTGGTTCAATGCAGCTCAAAAGAAAAAGAAACTGAAAAACAAATAAAGAACAAGAAGCATGTACTTTTTGGTTTCCCACATGTGTTCTTCTAACAATCTTATAACCCTGTACTTCTCCGAGTATGTAATTGACATTCCCAGTCGATCACATACTTGCATCCTGATTGCGTGCATTTGAGGAATACCTCTTTACAATACTTGTTACAAACACTGCATTTAAGATACTCATGGAAATAATCCTTCTTTGCAAGAGTGAGACGGTGCTCATGAAATCTATACTTGCGAGTCAATCCGAGCTTCAAGAATGGGTTCTTGCCGAGAACACACAAGAAATGAGCAGAATTATCACAGATTCCACAATAATAAAACCACTCATTTGGATCTCTTGATTCTTCACAAATATCACAGACACATTGATCCGAATGATGATGAATATTATCACAGTAAGTGAGTACCAAAGGATGTTCATCATACTTGTAATGGGCTGTATTTGGCGACGTAAGACATGTATAATCCAAGGAGAAATGATCACATTCCTTGAGTCTGCATATAAACGCCCCTTTTTTCTGATGACCAGTAACACAAATACTGCATTTGAAAGTAAATTTGTGATCAAAGAAGAGGCGGTGCCTATGTCCTTGAGTGGTGATGGTGTCGGGAATTAGAAAACATGAAATGCAGGAACCCTCACCACGTGCATTGTTCTCGTAGGCAAGCCCACTGCCGCGAAAACAACAGAAGCAACATATGAAATCTATGTAAGGCTCAAGAGTAAAGGTGTCCTTCGAAGCCCAATGCCGTGTCTTTCTTGGTAACTCAGCACAACGCTTGTGAAGAATGTAATTGCATTCAGCACAATAGTAAAATGAAGTTGAGATGGACCTCCTGCAACCGTCACAATATTTTTCATCTTTAACATCATCACAAAGTATTAAGTTGCATCGATGGTTGAAGTGTTCAATCTCAATAGCTATTACTTCCTCTCCAATTTTCTTCTCCTTGAGAACACGAGTAATAGAAGGCTCTCCAATCAACCATCCCAAGTTTGTTTGATTGGGATTTTGATTTTCACTTGCCACCTCATACTCCTGGATGAAAATATCTTTGTCCATTGCACAATTCACATGAACAAAGTAATCACAATCTCGACAATGATAGCATCCATACTCTGTCTTGATTTCATCCTGACAAATTCTGCAAGCCCGCCCTTCGACTTCTTCTTCTTCGAGGAAATAAATATGGGAAACTGGATGATCATGCCTTGTTATCAAGATGATCCGTGGGAGTGAAATGCATTCCTTATGAACTACAATGTCACATGCAGAGCATACATAAGGAATGCAATACTCTCCATCAGTACCACAAGCATCACAAATGAAAGAAAATGGTCTTGATAGAAGGGTAAATGGATGCTCATGATTCTTACTTTTGATCACATCTTCAAAGAAAGCATACTTGGGTTTAATGCCAAACTCACAAGGAGAACAGTAATAAATAAATCCCTGACAAGGTTTGCTGCATAACCGGCAACAACATTTCTCGTGATGAGCTGGAGGATTGGCTAAAAGAGTGAGAGGGTGTTTGCGGTGACTAGGGTGTTTGATCTTAGGGGGTAACTCAAAGCATTTCTGATGAAGGAAAAAAAGGCAAACAAAACAGCCATAAAATGGACCCAGTATCAGCTCTTCACATGCAGAACAAGATCGATCTCGGGGTTCAATATGGTGATTTTGAATGAAGAAGAGTGGATGTTGATGGCTAAAATGTTGAGACTCTGGCAAATTTCGAGTAATCAAGTTTGGAAGCAAAGCACATCTAATGTCAAGGTCAAAGTTACAAGAAGAGCAACGATAAACAAATAATTGCTCACCTAATTTGTATGATTTTCTGCAGGAATCGCAATACCATGAATTGAGATTACCGTATGCCGGCTGCTTATTGTAAAGGATGAGTGGATGGTCAGGGTGAAAGGGATGATTGATCTCCCTCGGTAGCTCAGCACAAGACTTATGAAGACAAAAACCACACTCTGAGCAGTTGTAGCTGGAGCCCTTTACTCGCTCTTGACATGCTGGGCAACAATCAGTCTCCTGATCTTCCGCGAGCACCAAAGGATGGGGATGACTAAAATGATTAAGCTTCTGCATATCTCAAGAGAAGATTCTGATGAGTGTATGTGAGGAAGGGAGGGAGGGAGGAGAGAGCGGAGTGCTTATTAATCAATTTGTGTTTTTAGTTTGATTTGACTTTGAAGGAGATCATAGATAAGACTGCAGCAGCCGAATGATAAGAATTTCGTCAATTTACAAAGTCAAATTGCAAGATACTGAGTACAAACATCACAGTTGGGTCCCACCTCCGTCATTTTAATGGTTTCTTTTAGCTATCAGTGTGAAATCATTTTAATGATTCCCAATTGTTGATTATTTAAGTGTTGAAAAGACGATTTTACCCAAAAATGTGTTAAAAAGACAAAAAAATCAGTTCAACCAGTGTACAACTAATTTTTACTTCTGAAACTCAAACTTTAAGTCACTAAATTTTCCTTTGCAGTTAAAAAAAAAAAAAAATGGTCCGTAAAATTTAGTCATAGATACACGTCAATGATAAAATTTCAATTTGTCATATATAATCTTTTTTTTATCAGCATTCGTGCAAAAGGACATGTGGAGATTAGGAAAATACCGTAAAAAATTATATTTACTTAATCCGTCTTAAAATAATTATTATTTTTTATGTTTAGATTAAAATTTTAGAGATAATATATATTTATTTACATTACTCTTAAAAAAGTTAAAAGATAAAGTAAAATTTTCTGTGATAAGGTAATTAATTAAAATAAATAAATAAATAATGATAAAGTTAAAGTAGAAAAATATATATGTTTATCCTAAAAAATAAAAAAAACAATAATTAATTTATGACAAAGTAAAAGTCAAATAACACCAATAACTTAAATAATTTAATAGCATGATATGCGAATAAAATAGAATGAGAGATAAAAAAATTATTTTTTATTATACAATTAAGAATAATAAAATAAAATAAAAGAATAATTATTTTAAGACATATAGAGTAAGTGAAATACCCCTTAACATTTTCAAAGATTTGTTGTTTAACTATGCGGCCAAGAATTTAATTGAATTATTATTTATTAATTAAAATTTTTTAATTTAAAATTTAAATTCATTAAATAATTAAGATTTTAAATTCATGTACAGTTTAATAACTAATTTTTTCAATGTTTTAAAAAAATTATTTAACCTTTTTTTAATGTACCCTAAGACAGAAGTCGAGAAAGAATCTCCTTGTAGAAGGAACATTATATGAAATGGAGCTTATACTTTTACCTTCCAACTATTTATATGTACTTTATTTTTGGAAGAAACAAATCTATTTACATGTATTTATTTATCAGAAAAAAAAAAAAAGGGATAAAAATATGATAATGAATATGCATATTGTTGAAAGAAAGTACGCTGGACCTAATCCCATGCACTTGCCATGCCTACACCTGGAGTATATCTTCTTCTTCCTCCTCTCCTCCTCTTTCCTTTCATCTTCCTTGCCCCTCTCTTCCCTCCCCTCTTTCCTTGATTTCCATCTCTGGTTTAAAGCCTTGAACCAAATTAACTATAAAAGCATGACGTGGGGTCAATAATATTGGGATGGGCATGTGAGAGTCCTTTTTGCGGCTGCACATTCTGTGGCGTGGCTGTTGTTTTCAACGGCTTGTAAATGATTTACCAAATTCATACCATTGAATCAATTTTCTCTGCCTATTAACTGATATCAGTCACTTCTGTTACCTTCAGTAGTTACCTTAACACTCAGCCAATATAAACTTGTTTACTAGCATGTGTTCAGCCAAACTATCCCTCTTGTTTTCCTATTCACTACCCTATATATTATAGACACAAGCTCAGTGCATGGAATTATTGTAATTGTCTGTACATGGTATTGGGATGGAAAAATTCTCTTTTAATTGTTATCATTTTTGGAACAGAAAAAAAAAAAAAAAGAAACATTCATAACACACCCCCTTAAACGATGTTTCTCTTCTTTACTTTTGGAACATGTATTCAGCATCTTCCTTTATTTGTTTTTACTTCAGGCATTAGAATCAAGGAGGATGGTTGTTAACAAGCAAGCCCGCAACATGCCTTACTTCCTCAATACTTCACCACCCTTTAACTTCTTATGTATTTTACTTCAGGCATTAGAATCTACGAGCTTTTCTTTTCTTTTCTTTTCTTTTTCTTTTAATTTATGGGGGGTACAGCATCTTGCTTTCTTTGTTTTTACTTTAGGCATTAGAATCTAGGAGGATGGTTGTTAATAAGCAAACCCGTTATGCCTTACTTCCTCAATACTTCACCTGCCTTTCTCAAATCCATTTTATCTTTAATTATTTAATTATAAAATCTGAACATAATAAATTCCTTTATTTTAAAAGACATACAGAAAATAATCCTTTCTTTTTTTATAATATCTATCCATTTATCTAAACTTACACTTTGAAACTTGTGATATAAAATTTCAAAAACTCTTCCTAATTAAGACATCTCTGAAAACATGATGCACAAAATATAGAATATTAAAACAATAAAAAAAAAAAAAAGGGTTTCCTATTTGCGTGCTTGATAAAAAGAGACAATCTCAACCTTAACCATAGTGAGGGACACATGACCTAGCAAAGCTCACAGACTGACCAAATCAATGTCATGAAATACATGGCCGAATGATTTGTTACTTTTTCTTTTCTAAATTAATAATAATATTCTTCTTATTAAGGATG